CTCTATATCTCTCTCTCCCTCCCTCCCTCCCTCCCTCCCTCCCTCTCTCTCTCTCTCTCTCTCTCTCTCTCTCTTCTTTCCTCTTTTAGAAGTCCCTGGATTTCCCTTTAAAGTAATCGCACTAATCCTGGGAGTCCTCGATTTACAACCATTCGTTTACTGACCGACCAAAGTTTTTCACACTTAACGACCGTCGTACCATCCCCATGGCTACGTGATCCAAATTCGGATGCTTGGCAACGGACTCGTATTTATAACGGTCGCAGTTTGTTGGGGTCACATGATCCCATTTGACGACTTCCTGCCCCGCAAAGTCAGATTCACTTAACAAACGGGGGACTCGCTTAACAAACACAGTGAGCCTCTTAGCAAGAAAGGCTGTAAAAACGGGACTGAATTCACTTAACGGATGTCTCCCTTAGCAACAAAAATGTTGGGCCCCGTGGTGGTCATACATCGAGGACTACCTGTATTTTTGTTTTTGGACCAAAACATCCCATAGCAAAAAATAATAATAATGTTTGCTTAATGACTGCGGTGTTCACTTAACGCCTGCAATGCTCGCTTCACAACTGCCACAAAAAGGGTCACAAAATTGGCTTGGTCGAGTGGGCGGCCTGCTTCACAATCATAATCGGCAGGCTTCATTCGGTCATAGATTAAAGGCAATCACTCCGACTCTTGGCATTACAGATAATCAATTAGAATAGAGCTGGAAGGGACCTTGGAGGTCTTCTAGTCCAACCCCCTTCCCAAGCAGGAGATCTTAACCAATTTCAGAGAAGTGGCTGTCTCGTTTCTTAAAAGCCCTCCAGTGTTGGATCAACCACAACTTCTGGTGGCAAGCTGTTCCACTGATTAATTGTCCTCACTGTCAGGAAATTCCTCCTTATTTCTAGATTGCTTCTCTCCTTGGTTAGTTTCCATCCGAAAGTCCTCTTATCCAGAATAACTTCGAATAGATCTTAAATCGTTTGAAATAGACCTATACTAGTCTCCCTTTCTTTCTTTGTCGGTAAATATAAATTTAACACACGCACAAAAGCTCACGAAATAAACCTCTGTGGAGATTCCCCGTCATCTTGAGTCTTTCTTGCCTTTTGGAATAAAAGCCCCTGGTTGTAAGTCGAGGACTGGCCTGTGAATGTTCCAATCTCTTTCCTTCCAAAATTCTCACCTACCTTCTCATCCTGCCAGGCCGCGGCGGCTAACAAGCGCTTGAAGGAAGCCCTCCAGAAGCAACAGCAGGCTGCAGCCAAACGGAAGGACGTTCACAACCGGGGATTCGAAGCCGTCGCCTCGCGGGTGAAGGTGAGGCTCCGGGAATAGCCCCTTCCGCTCCTTAGATCCTTTCGGGATTCCCGATAGCTGGGGAAACAGGCTTCAGGGGAGGGTCCCAGCACAGGGATTGTCCCCTCTGGAATGAGCTGCCCCCGGAGCTTCGCATAATCCCCAACCTCCAGTCCTTCCGACGTCCCCTAAAAAGTTGGCTTTTCCAGCAAGCCGGCATGGCCTGAATAGAATAAAATATAGGATTAATTTGGTTAATTTTAATTTAATTTTTAAATTTTTATTGTAAATATCAATTGGGGTTTTGTTTGGATACTTTATT